CCCCTCCCCCCTCGCGCAAGTGAGGGCCACCGGGGAGAGCTCCTGCATTTAGAGGAACCTTTTCTTTCTCCTCTTGCCCCTTGTGATGTCTCTTGCAGGTTAGATTTAGAACTCACCATTCACCCCCCCGCCCAAAGCCCATTAAAAATGGCCCCCAGTCCACATTACTGACCCTTTCTTTCTTTTTCTTTCTTCTTCTTTTCTTTTGTTTTTTAAGAGATATATATAGTTGACTGGAAAATTTATTATTTTTTGTCTTGCATGTTGAAGAAATTGGAAATTTTATTTTCTCTAAAAGAAATGAGTATCAGGCAGATGGGTCCCAGCTTGATCATCTTGGTGTCTAAGGTTTGTGTGAAAACTTACTTTTGAGGGGAGGAAGTTTCTATTCTGTAATGTGTTAACTTAATTTCAGGAAGTATCAAGAGAGGTGGGAAACTTTGGGGAGCCAAAAAGCACTTCATTTAACATGATAAATGCAAGGGAGCAATGCTCTTTTTTTTTTTCTTTTTTTTTCTTTTTTTTTCTTTTTTTAATAGCTCACTATTGTTGCTTGTAATCTACCATAGGTGACTTTCTACAGGAAAAATCTGCTCGTTTGTCTCAGCTTGGCAGCGTTCTGAGTAAAGCCCCACGTACGTTCTGGTTGACATTTTCTGCAGCTCTGGAAGCAGCAGCCCATCTTCTGAAACAACCTTAAAGACACCTGTAGCAGCCCGCAGTAGCAAGGATGGGATTAAAATCCCAGTGTCGGAGACCAAACCTGACTTGGATTTGACATTTGAAAATCAGAATAAAGTCGCTGTAGGAACTGCTTCTGTAATCTTTATCCAGATTTTTTTTTCTCCCCTGTGATTGTTAAATTGCAGCAACGCAAGTGCATGGAGTCTGTTTACACATAAATTAGTTTCTGCTCTCAGATTCATATTGTTGGGGTTATTGAGGTGATTCCTATTCAAGATCCCAGAAACTACCCAGAACTGAGATGTTGATCAGCATATCGCTTCTCTCCTTCACGAACGTAGCAACTTTGCCCTGGGGAATGTTCTGAATGCTGCTATGCTGAAAAAAATGTGTCAGAGTTTTCCACACTTAATTTTAAGAGGTTTGAATAGGGTGGGCTGGGGGGAGGGCAAGGGGAGGAATGGAAGAGGAGGAGATTTGCCTGGAATCCCCTCTTCAAGAGGTAAGGAGTGAGCTGGTTAGTGCATCTTGATTCTGAAGCTTTCTTTCTTTTGTACCTTGCTCTGACTACTGCTTTTCCCGGCTTTTGAATGCATTTCCCCATTCCATTGGTCCCTTTGAGCTCAGCTCTTGCAGGTAGGTAGCATTTTAGAAAATGTTAGAAAAGAGTGAAATTTTAGTAAACACATAAAATTTTGTTTATTTTACAGGATAAGGTGGGTGTGAAGGGTTTTTCCCTTTAGTAAAGCACATTGTCGACTTGTGATTTCTTAATAGCAGATGGTTCAGAGACAGTGGATGGGAATAGGAGTCGGCTGTTCTTGATCTAATGACGTGGCAAAAGAATGGGGATGTCTCCTGCTTGGGGAGGGCAGATTTTTTTCCGTTGGTTTTCCTGCCTATGGATGAACAAGGCAGCCCACTCCTCTCGTAGCAGAGTGGAACTTCTTTTAGCCCGGGAAAAGAGCTTGCTTGTGCAGAGGTGGTTTTGTTTTTAATTTCTTGCCAGAATATAATTTTGGGGAATGAATGCATTGTTTGTATGACACACAGGTAGGTTATGGACAGCATCAGAGGAAAAAGGGAGAGATCTTCCAGAACCTTGCTTCCCTCATCCCACCTTCAAATTCTAGGGCAGGAAGTTTCTTTGCTTGTGTGAAATGAAAGCCAGAAACACTTCTTTTATCCAGGCACCGACTGATGTGTCTTTGGCCTCCCTCACAAGCAATCGTGGAGCTACCTTTTTATTTTGTTTTATTCGCGAGTTTAATGTAGAAATACGTTTGAGGGACGTAGGACGGGGACATCTTGATGACTGGTTTGAGAAGGGGTCTCTGGACCAGCAGAGCTGTCTCGCAGCCTGCCGCAGCTTCCCCCCGCTTCGGGAGGGACGTGTGAACGTAGACGCCAAGTGTGGCAGCGCGTGGCAGGGGCGCGAGGCGGCGCCGCCTCGAAGGGCCCCGCGCACGGGGCGCGCACGGCTCTGCTCCGTGCACCAGCCCAAGGGCCCCTGTGGATAAAGCATTAGGGTCTAGTGCTGTTTGCGTTGTTCTCCATCTGTACGACTCTGTGGGAGTGTCTCTGAGTTGGGTGTCTCCTCCCCTCCCGCTTCCTGAAGCAATTTATTGTTTGGACTTCTCTGAACAGTGGAAAGGTTAGTGGCTTTGTGGGGGGCCAGCGTCTCGTTTCACACGCTTGCTGGTCTCTGAACACATTCCTGTTGTATTAACGAAGACTTGAATTGAGCAATTGATAGATCTGTGGTGTTCAGACACAGGATACTAAGAGCTATGTTACTATTCTTAGTTTGTAAATTGTCCTTTTGATACCATCTTGTTTTCTTTTGTAGGTATAAATAAAAACACTGTTGTCAATAAACTGTGAACTTTGTCTTTATTTTTGGAGCATATAACAGTCTGTACCCCATTTTTTCCCCTCCAATTCTTACCAAAAAAAAAATTGAAGGAGTTAGAAACATCTATTGGCACCATACTGGATTTAAATAAAAATGTCCCCCTTGGTAGAATATTAGGAACTGTCACTGCAGGGGGAGGGGGAAGTGATGAGATGTCTGAGTATCTGTAGAATTGGCAGTTCCTTGTAATTGGGTGAAAGACATTTTTCTTGGAAGGTTACGGGACCTGACTAGAATGGCAGAGTGGAGTTGCAGGTGGATCCTAGTTCACAGACAAGTTCTGGAATGTCAGTGTCGGCAATGTCTGCTGTGTCGGAGGTGGTCACATGGGAAGTGGGTCTCTTTCTGATTTGACAACACTAAGTTCTCTTCAGCATAGGTTGTCATTAAGGCTGGAGATCCAAATGGGTAGTGACAACTTCCCTTTTATTCCTTGTGGTACTTCAGGGCTGGGTTGGAGGCATGTTTTGGGCGTGGATGCTGTGGATCAGGAGACTGCAGTATTGGCCAGCACTGCGTTCTAGCACTAGATTCGAGTAAGAAGAGGAGAGGATGGGGGAAACTGACTGAGGCAAAGTCCCATATGGGTCAGAAAGTGTTCCAGCTTTCCACGCCTCAGTGTCTTCTGGCATGGAGCTGAAACTCAGCCCTTTGCTTCGTCAACAAGGGGCAAGAGAGGAAAGCTGTGAGCCCAGAGCTTCATCCTCAGGCACTTGCTTTTGTGGAAACATCTTCAAATAGGCATTGGAAGGCTTAGCTTTTTTCCTTTTAGGACTGTACAATGAAAGAAAAAGACATAAATGAAGGAACTTCAGGGAATTAAACTTTTTTCAGTGTTTCAGAATATATATATACATGGAGCCAGCGCTGTTTGCCACCTTCCTTAATGACCTGGGTGCTGGGACCCTGCACCCTCAGCGACGTTACAGACCATACCAGCCAGGGCGGAGGGGTTGGTAACACCTGATAGCTTGTGCTGCTGTTCAGAGGCCTCTCGGCAGGAGGCACCTCCTCTTGGAAGGAGGTGCAGAGGGGAGCCCCGTGAGCTTTAGCAAGAGGGAAGGTCAAGTCCTGCACTTGGGGAGGAATGACCCCAGCCCCCGCGCACACTGCGGCCGACTGCCTGGAGAGGAGGTTGGCGGGGGAGCACCTGGTTAGCCTGATGGGAAGTTAATCAGGAACCAAAACAGTGTCTTTGCAGTGGAGGAGACCAATAGCCTCCTGGGCTGCTTAAGGAGGAGGAAGGTTTGCAGCAGGTCCGGGGAGCTGATCCTTCCCCTCGCCCCAGTGAGGCTGCAGCAGGAGTTCAGGGTTTGGCTCTGGCCTCAGCAATGTGGATGTACTGGAATGAGTCCAGTGAAGTGCCATAAAGACAATAAAGGCTTGAAGCATGTACAAGTAGTCCCATCTTTCTCAGCTGGGACTACTGAGCCTGGAAAGGAGAAGGCTCCAGGGATAATATCAGTACCTGAGGGGAGAGTAGAGGAGATGGAACAAGGTTCCTTTCGGTGGCACCCAGGGACAAGAGGCAGCAATGGGGGAAGATTGAAATATAGAAAATTAAATTTTGTGTTTAAAATGTTACTGGGAGGATGGTCAAACACTGGAGTGGGTGTCCAGTCTCTGTCCTTAGAAATAACTCAAAGCCTGACTGGATACAGCCCTGAGCAGGAGAGTTGGACTGGGCAGTCTCTAGAGGTGCCTTCAACCTCAACAAGGCTGTGAAAAACAAATTTTGGGGTCTGGAAATGGTATCTTTCAGCCCCTTCTTGTTTTAAACTGAAGGCAGCTCAGCTAGATTTGAAAACAAGATGAAGAAGAAGCTGCATTATATAAACATTCCTTTACAACGCTTTGGTATACAGGTTCTGAAGTCTGACCAAACAGATTTGTTTATGCCAGGTGTCTTTGGCTTTTTATGAGAATCACTGGTATTTTGTCTGAGCTCTTCTATTTGAACACTGTTCCCCTTTTGTTTTCTCCATATGATTTGGAAAATTTGTGGAAAAGCAAAAAGAAATGTAATTATCTTCCTGCTGTGATGTCTCAGGAGCAAATGTTTTTTCTTCTGCCTCCTGTATCATCCAAATTTTGTGATCTTACTACTAGTGATACAAGACTGGAAAGCAGCAGTTGTTTTTTTTCCTTTTGTTCCATTCCCCACAGCTGCAAGGGGTGTGGAAGTTTAACAAAATGCAGAAGGGCACAGGACACATTAATTGAGTGAAGCTGAAATAGGAGTTAAGTAAATAAAGGAGTTGATGAGGAGCACCATGATGGCAGTTTTACAAAGAAATTTTCTGGCTACAGATGTGTGTTTGTGACAGAAGGAAGACTTAATCCATAAAGGTCAGCCAGCTGCTCAGGGCTCCTGTCATCTTTCTGTCTAACATTCTCACTGCTGGTTTTGGCAGGCTAGTTCAGGAGTGTGAGGGAGGAGAGAGGTGTCCATGCAGCTAGACTTCATCAAGTTCCACCCTGCCAAACATAACAGCACCTTAAAGCGTGCTTTAGCCTAAACAAACCATAGCATGTTCTCCATAATTTAATGCCCTTGATCTTATTAGGTTTGTGAGCTCCAGTATGTAGCCATTTACCAAAACACAGCACTGAAGAGGAAGGGGCATCTTGCTTTGGAAAACAGAAAGCTGTCTTGGGAATGTAAGTGCTTTTCTGTCTTCCTACAGAATCAGTTCTTGAGAATGTTACATCTTTCTCTCCAAAAGAAAAAGTAGTCTTAAAATCTCTATGTGTCTGGTTGCTTACTCAGGTGTCATCTGCCTCCTGCTGTTTTCTTCTTCCCTTTTGTTTTGTTTTGTTTTTGCATGATTCCTAAGCTTTCAATTGTAGTTGGAAATGAATATATCTTAAATCATTATCCTGGGGTGGTTTTAAACCAGACTTATTTCTGATTAAATCTCTGCTTTGTTTCACATGCATGTCTAGATCCTTGTGAGCAGAGCTATCCATGTGGATTCATCAGATACTTTTTCTGGACTTTAAGTGGATAACATACATCACAAATATAGTACAGGATCAGTAAAATCATTTAAGGATTGACCAACGGCAAGCTGCACTGCACCACACACTGCAAGAATGCCTGTTGTGGACTTTGAACCAGCTCCTTCACCTACCTTTGGTGACGTAGAGATAAAAGAAATCACAGTAGAAGATGGTTTGTACCACCCCGGAAACTACCGCAATCTGGTCATAGAATTTCTCTGTGTGGTAGCGCCAGATCCAGTTGGCAATGTAGAGAGCGCGGTAAAGGCCCAAGAAGAAAAGGTAGTGAGTTGTGATGGTCTCCGCTTCCCCCGTCTTACTGATCATGAAGAGCTGGGGAAGGATAGCCACTGACTCCAGGTAGATGGAGAAGGTCCAGAGTATCTGTGAGATGAAAAAGGAGGCAGTGGAGAAGCTTGATGCTGGTTAATTTGCACTATGGCCCAAAGGTCTAAATTAGCGATCAGAGCATTGATAGCAAAGCAGGACAAGTAGTGCTCTAGGGGTTGCAGAAGACGGACCTGCTTTGTTGGGACTGAGAGTGCTGAGGCACTCTACTATGTAGAGCTGCTGAGCTGCTCTCTCTATGTTCTCTGTGGACTGCTTACCTTTTCTGCATGGTGCACCGTTAAAAATCTTAAGTATTCAATGTCCCTCTAGCTTTGCTGTATAATATCAGATGATCATTTACCTTCCCCTTACTTGGACGGCTGTTTACCTTCCCCTTTCGTGTTTTCCTTACCTCCAAGGGTGTAAAGCTGTGATTCTCCAGAAATGACAACCCTGTGACAGGGACCAAGAGGAATTCAAGGCGAAAGGAGTCATTCTCACTGTCGAATGTTTTCCGGAATTTCCCATAGATCATGTACACGGTGATGTAGGCACATAGCAAGAAAATTACCTGGGAGAGGAAAAGGAGATGGCAAGGTCTTACGTTTGATCACATCATCTGTGCTAAAAGAGAGGCTTAACTTAGCCTAGCTTTGCCAAAGTCAAAATCTGTTATCCTGGTCCTTATGGGCCTGTGCTGGGGTGAAAAAGGAGTGAACTCTTGCTCTGCGCTGACTTTCCACCACACACGTTTGCTGGAATTCCCTCCTCACTACTGCTGGAGATATGCCAGTGGTCAAGTTAAGTACAGATGACCGTTTTGTCTCGCCATGAGGATCACACTTGTTTGAGCTCTTTAAGGCGCTATGTGAAGAGCTTCCCTTGGTAGCAGCCAGCAGTTAGTGCCTCTGCTGTGGAAGGAGACCGGGGCTTGATTCAGTGTTTTGCCTGGTCTTGGTGGTACTAACGGTGTGGTGGGATCCACTTTTTCCTTCAACACAGAGATGGGATTTTCTGCTCTCTGGGCTTCTTGTCAATGGAGGGATGGTGACACCAAAGGAAAAGTCTTTCTCTGACCTGCCCATGTGCAGCACACTGTGGCTTCATTGGCCTTATGAGAAGTGTGGGAGATAGGTGAGGAAGATGCAATTGCTCTTTCCTCTCCCTTAGTGGACATTTTCCCTCACATTCCCTGAGGAACCTGAGCTGCTGTGGCTGCTTGTGCTAGAATTTCTCCCTCTCCTTACCTTCATCACGGTGTTATAGACGGATATGAAGTTTGTGAACAGGTCCAGGTAGCGGGTTGTGAAGACAAGGGCAAAAAGAATCTGACTTTTCCCAGAGATACCTGCAGCGCAGGGAGAAAAAAGTAAGGGAAGTTATTGTGCAAGATGGACTCTTTCAGGCTTTTTTTTTTTTTTTATGGGAGAAATGGTATTTGTAGGGGTGGTTATCAGGGTAGGGATCCCTTTCTAGTGCTCGTGGTGTTTGGTAAATCACAGTACACTGAGGAACTCGTTGGATGTGGCAGTAAGTGCCTATCGCACCAGTGCTGGGCCTACCTGAAGTTGTGCCCTGCCAGCACTCATGGCCAATGCTCACCTGAGCCAGACCTGTCCTGGTGATGGGTCATCTGGGCCAGGGCAGGTCATGGCATTGAGTATTCACCCGTCAGGGCTAGATGGAAGCCAAGAGGGTGCCAGAGTGCCCAAGCTACGTTAATCAGGGATGTTGCTCTAATGGGGTTATCGTCTCCATTTGTTCTTTTAATGAGGGAATAGTGATGATAAAGAATAGCCCAAGCAGGAGTCCTGGTAACTCCAGACCCACATCTGAACCAGGCCAGAGCCTCCCTACATGGTAGGACAAACTCGTTCTGATGCCCTTGGGCCCTGCGTTGAACTGTTGGGAACAGCTCTTGGTTGGCAGATTCACTTCTTTGGTCAGTTCAGTCCTTACTGTCATGCAAATGCATTTCTTTTCCCTTCATTGCCCCCTTTGCATGCCTGCCTACCTTGTCGTGGGTTTATGTGGTGTGGCATTTGCCACATTAGGGAAAAGCTGAGGGATCAGGGAGCAGCCCACGGATGCTGTCAGTGCTTAGTCACCAGTGGTTGGGCCTCCAGCATGAGAAGCAGCACGGAGAGGATGGCAAATGCAGTAAAATCATAGAGTTTTTCTACCTGTGATAACTGCTGTGGCACAGCAACCCAGCCCTGAAATCCCTTAGGAGAGGAGCTTGTGAACTCAGATCAAAATGCTCCTTCAGGAAGCAACTGCTTGAATTTCCTTGCACAGGCTCCCTCAGCAGCTCCCGGGGAGGCCCTGGTACCTGCCTGCCGGCTCCCGGGGCCTCCTTCCCAAAGCAGCGCCCACAGGAGCCGAGACATCTTGTCCTGCTCGTCTCTTCAGCCCAGGCAGATCCGCCAAGGCCCTGATGATGAACAGCCCCCACCTCAGCTGCTGCCCTGAGCCCTGCGCAGCGCGCTGGGTGTCGGAGCGGGACGCGCAGAGCGCTGGGACGTGTCTGCTGCTCCCCGCGGCCAGCTGGCAGCACGGGGCTGGCGGCCGCGGAGCGCTCCTCGGGGAGTTCTGCTGCCCTCAGACAAGGCGCCTCCGTTGCTTTCCCTCTGCATTTCTTTTGCTGGTTTTGCTGCAGCCACATCTTGCTGTGTTTGTGTTCCACCTCTTTGCAGCCACAATATCCACCCCTTTACTTCATCACCCCAAAACAAACACCTGTGCCGAGGCTCTGCGCCTTGCCACATCACATCCTTCCACCACATCCATCTCCCTCCTGGAGGGAGAAATCACCCTGGGCTGGGATGGATTTGCTGGCAGCTTCTACAAAGGCCCCCAGACTTGTCAAAAAATTAAGATGGATCAGCAAAGAACAGGAGAAAGATGGACAAGAAGAAGAGTGGGATCTTGGAGAGCTGCAAGGAGAGGGAAACTTAATTCTGTGCGAGGACCCAGGCCAGGAGGGGTGACTATCACTAGCCTGGGCAGCCCCCATTTCACCTCCCCTGCCCACACACCTCCTCTCCATGACCTTCTCGCTTGGACCTCTCACAAAGTTGCCCTCCAAGAAGGGACCCTCTCCTTCCCCACTGTGAAAAGAAAAGGACATGGGAGTGGGTGGAGAAAACTCACCGGCGCAGGACTTAGACCTCTGGATCTTAAGCAGCAGGATGATAATAGCCAGCAAGTGGGAGATGTCTCCCAGGATCCGGAAGACGTTCATTGCTACACAGGCTCCTCGGAGGCAAAGCAAGCAGGGTGTTTGCACAGGGCTAAGATCTAAGGCTTCCCCAAAGGTTGTCGTTTGGTAAAATTCAAAAAATCAGCAGGATTTTTTTTTTTTTTTGCTCTAGCCTTGATCAAATAGATGCTCTCTTCCAACTGAGCTTTCTTTTTATCTGTGTACGGATTTTTCTGGTGGAGGAAAATTCAGGCTCCTTCTATGAAGAAACACCCGTTCTCCCTGCAAGTTTTCTCTTCCAGGGTAAACTGTCCCCCTTGCTTAAATTTACCTCCAGGTAGATTTTATCTCCACCAGCACCAGTTTGCCCTCTCTGCAGCCCCAGCTCTCTCCCCTCCAGGCTGATCTCCCAGGCAAAGTTGGGTTTGTCCCCGAGCAGGACTCAAGCTAAGTCTGCTCAGCAATCCCAAAGCCAGCACTGGGTGACGTGGCTCCTGGCTGTCCTGGGAGGAGAGAAAGGAGGAGGAGGCGGGAATAACCGCGCTATTTTTCCTTTTTCTTTTTTTTCCTCTTCCTCTTTTTTTTTCCTTTACTTGTCTCAAATTACACACGGAAGCGTTCTTAAAGGGGATAAGGCAGACGGAAATTATTATCCCTAATCTGGGGTTGGGGAGAGAGGGGGAAGACGGAACAGTCCTCTGAGTCTCAGGCTTTTGAGGGATGGTGACGCTCCCTTTGGACACATTTATCTCCGCTCTGCTCTGAGCTGGGCAGCCCTGTGTTGACTCCAGCACTTTCTGGGCAGTGATTCTCCAGCCTAACAGAAACTGCTATTAGGGAAAAACTTCCTGGCACTCGCCCAGAGCTCCCCTACGCTAGTAGATGAAACGAAGGGGGTGGGAAGAGATTAGAATTGAATGTTTTCGGCTTGCATGAGTTTTTACAGTGCGACCGTGGCTCCTCGGGTCTGCCTGGGCTCGGCAGAGGGCTCCTCTCCCTGCTCGAGCAGCCCAACACTGCAGCCCTCCCCAGCTCTGCACGGCCCCCTCGGCTGCTCCGGGGACCTTCATCTTCCCCAGTATTTTAGGATGCTTCCTGGCTTTGCTCGTCACACTGGACGCTGGGGCTACCTGACACCAAATGCTGATTACACTGCTCCAGACTGTAGCCATTTCCCTTGAGCACTGGACACTGAACTAAGCAGCCCTCAGTGCAGACAGCGCTGAGGACACCCGGCGCTGCACACCGCTTTGGGCGCCCTCGTGCAGAGCAGGGCACCGACTTGTGGTTGTTCCTCCAAAAGAAGTGTGGATTCGTGAGGAAGCAGCTGGAAAAGAGCCTGGGGATTGCCTCAGCTGTGGACAGGGAAGCTCCGGAGGGAGGGAGGAGGGAACGTGGCTTGTGTGTTGGCTCCCGGATATGAGCTGGAAACCAGGAGCATCCAAGAGCTCAGGCTCAGAGGAAAAAAAGTTCTCCAAAAGGCTATTTTTAAATATACTTCACTGAAAATATTGATCATAGATTTCTGTAAGTGGATTAAAAAACATGTAATGCACGTGTTGTGTGAAAGAAGTACGTATGTACTATCATTTGAGTAGATTTAACAAAAAGGAAAGGATATTAGTAGTGACTTTGTTACAGGGTTTTCATTCATTGCGAAGCAGCCATGGGCAACCAGTCTACTTGAGATAAGTCTTGTTCTTGCATCAGAGGTTAAGCTGTGAAGAGCAAAGGGTCTCGCTGGACCAGCTGGGGGATGAGGACCTCAGCATCGAAACGGGTTCAGCAATAGGAGAGCACTACAGGGCCTTTTTATTACCTAATTGCTACTATAAAGTCCCTTTAATATAACCATGACAAATTGTTTAATTTGTTACCTTATCCCCAGGCAAGTTGTATCTGGCCATTGGGCTAATTTTGCCCCTCTGTGGCTGCATGACCCCTGTTGCTCTTGTCCGGAGGCCGGTTTTGGAGGCTGATTCCTCTGTCCCCGGGCTTTCCCTGCAGCGGTTTCTTCTGTTTTTTCTTTCTTTGGCATGTCCTTATGGGCTCAGTCTGGAGTAACATCCTTAATGATTAAAGTGTAAAAATATTATTCCTGGTGCTAACAAGTTTATTCATGTTTCCAGACTCCTTTCTGAATACATTTGCATACATTTCCTCCTTGCCCATTAGGCTGCCTGCCGTGTTTTCCCTCTTTGCCTCTACAACACCTGGCGTACTGGGCTTTTCCAGACGGGGTTTTCAGGTTTGGCTAGAAAACACTTGCTCAGCCTAGTGAGCAAGTGGGAGAAGGGTTTAGACTAAAGGACGATGTCGGAAGGGAACAACTGGCTATAAAGTGGCGGTAACTCCGTCTGAAACCAGGTTTCCAGCCCCTGGTACAGAGACATCCTGGACCTCAGC